ACTTCATTTTCCTGGCAAAGCATGTTCACATCACTGTGCAGCCGCCACCACCGTCCAGTCCTAGAACTCTCCTCTCCTCCCACACTGAAACGTCCCCCAGGAAACAATCCCTCCCCGTTCTCCGTCCCCAGCTCCTGGCAGCCACCGTCCCCTCTCGGTCAGTCTCTGTGTATGTGGCTCCTTGGAGAAAGTGTCTGTGTTTACAAACACGCGTGCATTCCACGGGAGGAGTGTCTTTTCGCCTCTGGTGTCACTGCTGCTGTCTGCCTGTCGCCTCGCAGGTGAGCACGAAGCCGCAGTGGCAGGAGGCGGCCCCGTCCTTCCATCTGAACGTAAAGCAGGAGGAGGACATCCCCGAGCCGTTCAGTGTGAAGAATGAGCAGTCGTACGGTAAGGGCGTCAATCGTCGAACTCAGATTGAAGGGAAATTTCTAGAGAAAAAAGGCACATGACGTTTAGCTAATAGAGTAGTGAGGTCGCAGGATTGAAATGACCTTTAAATCAAGTAGCCAAATTGATCTCAAATGTTTTCCTTCAGAGAATGATTGATCCCAGTTGTTAGCTAGTTTAGGCTGTTGTAAATGTTAGAAAAACTGATATTTTAGGAATGGAGGTGTTTATAATAAAGCTTTGACTTATTGTAGTCAGAATTTGCCTCCGCATCAAAGGCTATGACCTTTTTTCTAAGAGGGCGTTTCAATAAGTTGTAAACATTATTTCCAAATTAGTCATCCTAGTATTCTTGTTTTGATTCTCCAGGTTACATTGAATACTAAGATTTTTTCATCGTGGATCTTTAAGTTTTCTGAAATAGTTTTGTATTCTGTTTTTTTTTATCATCATTTTACTTTTTTTTTCCTTTAAGAAGGTCCAATGGACATGTAATTGAAAATTTGAGTTTATTAGCATATTATTCAAAATATAAAAGAAATTCATTGAATAATCTTGAAATAGTTAGTGGCTTTTGTTACGGTGACATAAAACAAGAGCAGTTAACTTCCTGATAGTGAAAGAAAAATTCATTCTACTTACGGTAATGTGAGAACTTACCACATGTAGTTTTTTTCTTGGAAGGTACTTCAGCATTTTCACTCTAACCACTGAAATGTCTCAGCTTCCTTTTTTGATGACTGACTTATGCTTTTTAAAACTTTAGCCGAATACATGGAGCACTTTGGAAGAAAGGGCACCCTGCTCGACCAAATTGATGACAGTTGCGCTGGCCCATCCACTTCCAAGGCCAAGAGCAAATTCCCACATAAGGAACGAGAGAACTTCCGCAGCACGCTGGTGAACGTCATCATGTAAGGGCTGTGTGCGAACCCCTATGTGTCATCCTCTGTGGAGCCCCTGGAAACTTTTAATCTAAAAATACAAGCCGGCGTGGCTCCGTGCTTGAGCATCCACCGGTGAACCAGGAGGTCACGGTTAGATTCCCGGTCACGGTACCTGCCTGGGTCGAGGGGCTTGATCCCCAGCGTGGCGTGTGCAGGAGGCAGCCGGTCAATGATTCTCCCTCATCTTTGGAAGGTTTTTTCCCCATCTCGTTGGCTCAGGTGGTGTGGTGACTCCTGTGCATGGCGCGTCTCCTGGTGTGGAAAGGAAGGTGGTGGTGGCGTGAGCAGCAGCAGGAGCAGGGCCGGGGGGTGGCTGCCTGGGTTCAGATGTGCGCATGGAGAGCAGTGCAGATGCGTGCCAGGAGCCCCTCTTGGCTGTTTTCTCACAGCTTCCTCTAGGCCAGGGGTGGGTAACCTTTTTGTGAGTCCGTGCCAAAACCAGCAAAATCTCTGACTCAAAATTCTTCTGCGTGCCAACCCTAATTTTTTGAGAACATGTTACGCCTACTTGATATCTCTTAAGGTGTATGTATGTGAAGAACCTTGAAGAAATAATAAAATTCATTCGAGCAACAAAAACACAGTATATGGTGATAAAAAATACATTTATTATTTAATGTATACATGTGCACTGA